GCAGTTACGAAAATTTATACCTCGGGTATAACACTTCCTGCGAGTGACCGTTTAAAAAAAATAAGAAAGAAAGCAAACCATATTTTTTGTAAACTCTTGCCTTTAGTTTTAAATACAGTTTTTCTTTTATCGCTGCCTTTTTTATGTGTTAATGTTGCTCACCAACTAGGTACTTTAGATGAAAGAAACGATTAGTGATGAAGCGAATGAACGCGAAGAAAGTAAAAAGCAAAAACGTAATTATGATGAAAAATGAAGAAATATAGCCGGAGGGGTTGAATAGTAGAAAAGGGAAAGATTATTATTATTATTATTATTATTATTATTATGACGCTTAAGGATGAAGGCAATAATAATGGTACTACAACCAATAAATAATGACGAAAAATTAACGAAAAGAAGTCAAACATCAGTAAGAAGAGATAAAAAGCGAATAAAAACAGGATGAATAGAGGGAAAAAGAAGAAAAGAAGAAATGGGAAAGAAGTTGAAGAAGAAGAAGAAGAAGAAGAAGAAGAAGAAGATGAAGAATGATGATGATGATGAAGAAGAATGAAGAAGAAAGATGAAGAAGAAGAAGAAGGAAGAAGATGATGATGATGATGATGATGAAGATGATGATGAAAGAAGATGAAGAAGAAGAAGGATAGAGGAATGAATGAAGATGAAAAAAGAAAAAGAAGGAAAAGAAGAAGAAGAAGAAGTAGAAGAAAAGAAAATAAAGGAAGAAGGAAATTCGAAAACAAAAGAAAAGAAGAAGAAGAAGAAGAAGAAAGAAGAAGAAAAGAAGAAAAGAAGAAAATAGAAGAAGAAGAAAAGAAGAAGAAGAAGAAGAAGAAGAAGAAGAAGAAGAAGAAGAAAGAAGAAGAAGAAGAAGAAGAAAAGAATTGAAGAAGAAGAAGAAGAATAGAAGAAGAAGAAGATGAAGAAGAAGAAGAATAAAAAAAAAAGAAAAGAAGAAAGCTGAAGAAGAAGAAGATAAAGAAGAAGAAAAGAAGATGAAGAAGAAGAAGAAAAAGAAGCAAGAAGAAAGAAGAAGAAGAAAAGAAGAAGAAACAAAGAAGAAAAGAAAGAAGAAGAAGAAGAAAAGAATAAATGAAGAAGAAGAAGAAGAAAAAGATAAGAAAGAAGAAGATGAAGAACAAGAAGAATAGAAGAAAAGAATTTATAAAAAGAAGAATAAGAAAAAAGAAATTAGAAGAAAAGAAGAAGAAGAAGAAGAAGAAGAAAAAAAGAAGAAGAAGAAATCTTTAAGAAATTAAGAAAATTTTTAAAAGAATATAAGAAAATTAAAGATTGAAGGATGAATAACATAAAAGAAGATGAAGAATTAAGAAGAAGAAGAAAAGAATATGAAGAAGAATAAACCAAGAAGAAGAACTAAAGAAGAAGAAGAAGAAGAAGAAGAAAGAATAAAGAAGAAGGAATGAGAAAAAAAGAAAAAACTTTAAGAAAAAAAAGAAGAAGAACAAAGAAGAAGAATAAGAAAAGAAGAAGAAGAAATTTTGAAGTTAAAGAAGAAGGAAATGGAAGAAGAACGCAAGAAGAAGAAAAGAAGAAGAAGAAGAAGTTTCAGATAAAAAAAGTAGGAGATTAACCATTTGCAGATTTAGATTCACTAAGATATTAAAAGAAAAGTTAAAAAATTTAACATAAATAGAATACACGTTGAATATTAAGAAGAATAAAAAAACAAAAAGATCACAATAGAATATATATATATAAAAATATGAATATATATATATATATTAATATCAATATATAATAAAAGAAGAATTGACAAAATGGAGATAGGTAAAAATATTAAATGTTTGACAAAATGAATCCTATACTACTAAAAATAGTGCCTCACCGTTTGGTACAACATTTTGTACATGGAAATTGAAACGAAATTCAAAACCAATATTATAAAAACACTTAAAAAGATTTAAAAACATACACACACACACACGCGCACATATATAAGAAAACAGCTCGTTTTTCATGCAGGAAACTGAACACATATGCACACACACACACACACATATATATATATATATATATGAAAAAACTTTATAATTAGTGTAGACCCATATTTGAGCAGACGCTTTTCAATTAAAATATAGAAACATATACATATAATATACAAAAATATAAAAATATTATATATATATATATATATATATATATATATATATATATATATTACGATAAATTGCAATCAATTTACAAATACATGAAATATTCACAAAAACTAATGCAAACTTTGCATTTTTTTTTATAATGTTTTATATATATATATATATATATATATATATATATATATATATATATTTTTATGTATGTATGTTTGTATGAATATAAAAGTGCGATGGATAAATTATCGTCTAAATGATGAAAATATGAAAATCACACTGACATCTCATTTTAACAGATTTATTCACCAAAATTACACAAAAATATGAAATATTCTACAGAATAAATTTATTTAATAAAATCGGCATTAGCTTCTACCACGGAC